AAAAAAGAGCTTAAAAACAGCTAAGGGCTTTGCACATTTATTTAAAAAAATGCAAAATGAAATGCCTTTATGAAGATGGAAGTTGATAAGATTTGTCCATTCTGAGAAAAAAATTGAAGGACCCACCTTTCCCTCAAGGCAGATTGTGGGAAATGCTATTTCTATCTTTAAAAAAAATTTGCTCTAGACCCACATTGGAAAATCTGAGCTATTTCTGGAATTCGGGATGAGGCTTCAAATCTGCCCACAGTTAGTGCAAAATTTGAAATTTAATCTTGCCTGTGACTCTGCAAGTATTTTTGAAATTTTGTAACTTAAAAAAAAACAAGCTGATACTTTGAGAGGTTGAATTTAGAGTTAAGTTTTCTCTTGAGTGCCTATTTCTTAAAAGGGTCTTCTTTTAAGTAGGTAAAAGTTGCTACTTTTGAAGTATCAACACAGATTGAAACTGTGTTAAAAATAATATGTCACACTGATTAGCTCTGACAACTTTCTATGGTAATCAAGCTATCATGAAAAAAGAGGTCAACGAAATAATTTTCAGAACTGTGGCGAGAACTTCATTGACTCATATTGCTGGTTTTTCTCATAGTGTCAATTACCTTTTCTCCCTCAGTAAACCTTTGTAAATTGGATTTTTCTGAAGTCTGCATTGAACAACATATTGCTGTCCTTTCCTTTAACCCTTTCAAATCCTACTCTATTGTTCTGGTTAATGATCATAATGAAGATTGGATTGAAAAAAAATCTTAATTTAACCTTTGCTACCATCTAAATGTAAACATTAAGCATTTTGACCTCTTTTTCTTTTGGTCATCTTCAAATAGCATAATCAGATCTCTGTAGAAAAATGCAGTTCAGATTTGCTTAGAAATCTTGACTGAACAGTAGCAGTAACAAATAGCAACTAATTGTAGATATATATCTTTTAGTGATTATATATCTTCTTACTTAATCTCTTGAAACTACGGTTTCATAGGTCACTGAACATTAATGACCCAAGTAAATAGATATTCTATATCAGGGGTGTTCAAACTCAAGGCCGGGGCCCAGATCCGGCCTGTGTGGTACTTAGATCTGGCTCGTAGGGCTACCCTGGACCGCACACGGCCCTCCCAAACTCCATTTTCACTGGCAGAGGGTTGCAGGAGGCTGTGGCAGCCGAAAACGGAGCTACGGAGTCCATTTTCACAGGCAGAGCTCTTAGGCCACCACAGGCGCTCCCGACAGGAGTGATGCTGAGCTGGCCCCATCCACCCTGGCCACTCCAACCCCAGCCCGCTGAGGTGAAACACAACCCTGATGCAGCCGTCATTGAAATTGAGTTTGACACCCCTGTTCTATATGTTGAGCAGTCGTGTGTCTTGTTTTGAAGACAGTTCCTTCCTAGCCACTTACCCACCCTCAAATTTATGGCTGGAAGCGCAGAGAAGACGAGTTGGAAATAAACTTTCTAGAGGTCGAATTCTCAGTTTAATCATTCCTTTTATTCTCTTCCCCCCAAACATGTCAGATTGACTCCCAGTGGAAGAACAAGGCACGGTGCAGCCCGCTGGAATTTCTGTTGACAAACTCCCATCTTGTTAATCAAGAGACTCAAAAGATGAATTCAAAAGGGATCACATTTATTTTGGAGTTTGCTGGTATCTTTGCACACAAAAATAGCAGTTTTATTCTTTCAGAATGCCAAATTTAGCACACAGAACCGGAGCCTTGGATGAAATAAGGACCACCATGAAGATAGTGAGGGACTAAATAACAGTGGAAATATGATTGAATCTCAGAGCCTTGAAAACAGTCAATTTTGCCTTTGTCCCTTCCTTCCAGCCTTCTGTTCTGTGATGAGCTATCACTGCAATGGTTGCTACAATAATACTGGGTTGTTTCATTTTAGGTACTTTGGGATGTGATTTGGGATACCGAAGCAAAAGATTTAAATCCCTTTTCGGATTTTTGTAGAACAACATTGTGGCAAAACAATCTTGCTCCATGTCATTAACTTTCCACTAACAGATTTGCTTTGACATGTGCTGCTTAACATCACTTTCTGTCAGGTAATAGTGGAGACTGATTAATGTCCTTTAACGCCCATTCTCTCTTATTGGGCGGGGGAGGGGGGGCGAGGTGTGGGCTGTTCTTTCCTCCTTCCATCGTACTATGCTCTCCATCGTTGTCTTCTCCATGGCTGGATCAAGACCCTGGGAGGGGTGTGTGTGTGAGAATGCCCATGTTTGTTCAGTCCTGCACTCCTCTGATGGACAGCAGTGAACATGGTGCTCTGTGTATCAGCAACCTCTCCTAACCCTGGCTCTGAAAAGGATGTTTAGATGAGCAAGCATGGAAGCAATTGTGCAGCTTGCCTTCATTTTAACAAAGAATTCTGCATTCAGTTTTGGTCACCATGCTGTAAAAAGGATGGTTGAGACTCTAGAAAGAGTGCAGAGAAGAGCAAACAGGATGATTAGGGGACTGGAGACTAAAACATACAATGAACGGTTGCAGGAACTGGGCATGAGCAGTCTAGTGAAGAGAAGGACCAGGGGAGAAAATAAATACAATGATGAAATAATTGAGACAGTTCTTTTTTTCCTTTTGTTAAACCTTTTGTTTAATTTTGTTAAATTAAATTAAACATAGGCAAGAAAAACCAAAAGTACACATATAGACTGCGTGAAAGCAGGCTTAATAGCAGTGACTGTGAGAGGGATCTTGGAGTCTTAGTGGACAACTAATTAAATATGAGCCAGCAGTATGCAACGGCAGCCAAAAAAGCCAATGCAATCCTAAATTGCATTAACAGAGGGATACAATCAAGATCAAAGGAGGTACTAATACTACTCTATAATCCCTTGGTAAGGCCACACTTGGAATACTGCATCCAGTTTTGGTCGCCATGATATAAAGACTCTAGAAAGTGTGCAGAGAAGAGCAACAAAGATAATTAGGGGACTGGAGACTAAAACATATGAAGAACGGTTGCAGGAACTGGGCATGGCTAGTCTAGAGAAGAGAAGGACCAGGGAGTTATGATAGTATCCTTTCAATATTTGAGGGGCTGCCACAGAGAGGAGGGGGTCGAGCTATTTTCCAAGGCACTCGAAGGCCAGACAAGGAATAATGGATGGAAACTGTCCAAGGAGAGATTCAACCTAGATGGAGGAAAGGAGGGAGGAACTTTCTGACAGTGGGAACAATCAACCAATGGAATAGAAGCTGCCTTCGGAAGTTGTAGGAACTTCATCACTTGATGCTTTCAAAATAGACTGGACTGCCATTTGTCAGGGATGGTGTAGGTCTCCTGATTGGGCGGGGGTTTGGACTAGATGACCGACCTACAAGGTCCCTTCCAACTCTGTTCATCAAATCTAAGAGGGATTTTGGCAGGGGGGAGTCACCGTGAATTTGGCCTCCTGGCTCAAAGCTGCCCTTTTCTTCACATTGCCATCCTTCATAGCATCCTCTGCTTGGCTGAGGTCCCATGTCAGTTGGGCCCCTCCATGTCATTCGCGCCCACCTCTCTGTCAGCTTTAAGTGTTGCCTTTCCTTTGTGTCTTTGTCAGCGGCATTATTGTCTTGCCAGGCGAAATGTTGTGGGGAAGAATACAGCCATTAAGGAGGGAAAAGGATAAAATCATGTCTTCCCAAACGCCTCTCGAAGGTGTTTCTAGTTTTCCAGATCCCTTTGTCAACCTCCCCATCCCTCCGCCGTCCTTCCGTCGCCCCCCCACCCCCACCAGAGGTTTTCTAAACGGGCTTGGTTCTTGCTTCTTTGACCAGATCCTGCGTCTTATACTAATTGTCCCTGTTTCTTCACCCTCCCTGTCCACCAAAGCCTGAAGTGACCAGTGGGGGTAAGGAAGCCCCCGCTGAGGCTAGCCTAGGTGTAGCCCGGGAGGAGGCGGAGGAGGAGGAAGCAGAAGCTGAATTCACCCTCCCCTCTGACATGGAAGACGATTACGAGCCTGAGCTGCTGCTCATGCCAACCAACCAGCTTGTTAACCAGCCAATTCTAGCCGCTGCTCAGTCTCTGCACCGGGAAGCAACCAAGTGGTCCAGTAAGGTATTTCCTCCGTTTCCCCCCTCCATGGCGACTGATCTGCATTGCATCCGGCCATTTTGACACATTTGCATCACTCTTGATCCTCGGCGGATCCCATGCCTTTTTTTTCCCCATGGTTTATTTTTTTTTTCAAAGTTTGGAATGGATTCAAGTTTGTCTGCATTTTTTGTGGTCGAGGGAAACCGTGTGGCTTCACAAGTGTTGTTAGGCATGCTGATGGCCAGCCCAAAGCTTCATTCGGCTCACCCTTCACTGTCCTTTTCTGAATAAAGATACTGCCCTCCCTTGCCTTTTACCTGTCTTTCTCACCTGCCGGTGGTTACGTAAAAGAGAACCAAAGGAAGGAGGGCACGACTACCTGTGAAGCCATCGTTTGTTCGCTGCCTTTCGGAGACTCCCAGACGAGCGAGGGAGGTTGCCACTCCTGAAGTCATTTAACATGCATCGTTGTGCTTTCTGCCTCCTGATCAACAGCTTCTACTAAACTTTTGTTCCGACAAGGAATGGCTTGGAATGGCACAGTTGCCAAAGAGCTGGTCCTGTGGGCAGAGAGAGGCTGTGACGGAGGGGAGGAGGTTTTGGACGGGGGGGGGGGGCTGGAGAGGCTCTGCTGAATGCCTTTAAGTTGCTAAGTTCAGACTTTGCCCTCTCGTGTTTCAGCTGGCTTCTTCATGGAGATGGGGGGGGAAGGTCTGTGGCTTATGACGGGAATGGTCTGCTAGCACTAAGCACCAAAGAGGAGTTTGCCAAGCTCTGCTGGATTATTTTCTCTCTCACTTCCTTAGAGTAGCATGCTGCAAAGAATAAACGTGTGGCCGGGCAGCTCTGAAGGTGTGGTGTATGGATGTGTGTAATGTATTGGAAATTAGTTTCTCTCTTTCTTTTTTCTTTTTGCACTCGTGAATGGAAAACTGGGTGAATGGCATGAAATTCAAATGGCATCGCCCACGCATAACGGGCAACGGTGGAGTGTAATCCGGCTTAATTCTCTTCTGTCCAGGGCAGAGGTCTTCAAACCTGGCAACTTTTAAGACTTGTGGACTTCAAGTCCCAGAATTCTGGGAGTTGAAGTCCACAAGTCTTAAAGTTGCCAAGTCTGGGGACCCCTGGTCCAGGGCAAGGCTTAGCTGAAATGAATGGGGAAGTTTGGCTTTTGCAGGAGAACCACCGGTGGGATTGTGAATACACGGGCTCTCTTGCCCCCTCCCTGAAGAGCAATTTGGGCAAGGCAGGTGCCACCCCTTGCCTCTTGTGGCAGTGGCCTCCCACGGACCCGTCAGTCTCGGTTCTCCTCCCCGACCATCCAGAAGGGGGCATGGCTTTTCTTTGGTTGGGAGATGGCCAATGGCACTTGGACTGGCTTAAGTGCACTTGCAGAAACAACAAACCATGTTTTCCATCCTGGCTTGTACTCGTGTCTATTGCTACGTTGCATTTGTTTCATTTGTACCCCTTAAAATGAATGTGTTTAACAGGAGCTTGGATGTGCAATAATCCCGAAGTGGAGCTTTTCAGAATTTTGCATTGGGACATGTAAAAGGATGAAGGCACATCCGAATTTCTTTCTCCAAACAGCACCACATATATTGTCTTTTTCATTACACAATCACAACATTTTGCATGCCAAAGATGGGATGGCTTTTTCTACTTCCGTATGTTTGCTTCAACATATTCACTCATCTGTCTTCTCACAAACACGGCATCCTTTCTTCTAACATAAGGAACACACTGCTCTGAATATTCTTACAGACATTTTCATTTGAATGGCAATCCTGACACAAGTGGGGACGCGGTGGCTCAGTGGCTAAGACACTGAGCTTGTTGATCAGAAAGGTCGGCAGTTCAAATCCCTAGCGCCACGTAACGGAGTGAGCTCCCGTTACTTGTCCAGCTCTGCCAACGTAGCAGTTTGAAAGCATGTAAAAATGCAAGTAGAAAAATAGGGACCACCTTTGGTGTGAAAGTAACAGCGTTCCATGCACCTTCGGCGTTTAGTCATGCCGGCCACATGACCACGGAGATGTCTTTGGACAGCTCTGACTCTTTGGCTTTGAAATTGAGATGAGCGCCGCCCCCTAGAGTCGGGAATGACTTGCACATAATGTGCATGGGGAATCTTTATCTTTACCTGACACATGTAGTTTATTCACAAAATAATAGCTGATAATGGTTGGATTGAACATTGAAAGCTTCAGAGTTATAATGTCATGATGAAGCTTGGTTTAGCACAACAAATTAAGGGAAAAGTTACCTTGTTTGTTCTACATTCCCCTCCATCATGCAACTGTGAGGAGGGAAAAGTTTTCATTTCTTTTTTATCAAGTAATCACAGCTTCTCATTTTGTCTGAATGCAGCAGCAAACTATGATTAATCATAACAGTGACTCAAAACAAGAGTTGTTTTTTAAAGACATTTAAATACAGATTAGTGACTTTCCTAATTTTCCCCCCAAGAGGAAAATAGTTCATTTTGTCAAAGAAGAATTGGTAATTCTTCGAGTTATACATTGAAAGAAATGTTAGTCAATGGATTAACCAATTAATGGATGAATTCTAGATATGAATAGAGTAAGCATTCAGATGTTTTATCTCTGATGATTAACAGCATCTTCTGGCCTTTTTGATTGAAAAAAAATTCCTTCTGCCGATGCATTTTAAATTTAGTTGACCAAAAAGGCTTCTTCATCATCATCATCAAATGACCCCATAATCCCTTGCAGGGTGGAGTCTGGGCAACTGAATGGAGCTGAGTGATTACTGGCCGGATGCCCTTCCTGTCACCAATGCAGAGTTATATTCAGCAGATATATTCTCATGGTGCCCAGAGAGAGAAATATCTGCCTCTACCTAGGATTGAACTCACAGTCTTCTGATTGTGAGGCAAGAGCTCTACCTGTAGGCTACTGCACCACTCAATTAAAAGGCTTAAATAACAGAGCCTTTTCCAGGTGTTTTTTTCCCTCCATTCAGAATATTCAGTTTCCACCATTCAGATTGACCCTGTGACTTTATTTCTTATTCACCCATTAAGAATATTCACCATCATCACAACATGATACTTTTAAGACATTCCTTTGGCCACCTTATTTGAAACGATGGGATTCCTATCGGAGAGTTAAACATCTGAACTTGGTCATTTTCACTTTGGCAAAGCTACTAACCCTTACATACTGTCTCTGTGTGTGTGTGAGTGTGTCCACTCCCTCACCTCTTGGCTAAAGCTTGTTGTCACTGAAGATTGGGAGAGAGTTTCACACGTGTCCTTTGTGTGACAGTCCTGTTATTTTTTGTTTTGTTTTGTAAAGCAGCAACTGCACAGCCCCCAGAATGTGGCTGTTGTTTGGGGCGCATGGAGCGATCACGGCTGCTCTCCTTTTCTTCCCCCCCCCCCAGGGAAATGACATCATTGCCGCCGCCAAGCGCATGGCCTTGCTGATGGCCGAGATGTCCCGCTTGGTGAGAGGTGCCAGCGGAAACAAGCGGGCTCTCATCCAGTGTGCGAAAGATATCGCCAAAGCGTCTGATGAAGTGACCCGTCTGGCTAAAGAGGTGGCCAAACAGTGCACGGACAAGAGGATCCGAACAAACCTCCTGCAGGTAGGCCATGGCTTGGAAAGTGGAGAACATCTCTAGCTGGGAAGGGCCTATCCCAGGGGTGAAATTCAGCAGGTTCTGACAGGTTCTGGAGAACCAGTAGCAGAAATTTTGAGTAGTTCGGAAAACCGGCAAATACCACCTCTGGCCTGGCCCCAGAGTCGGGTGGGAATGGGGTTTTGCAGTACCCTTCCCCTGGAATGGGGAGGTAATGGGGATTTTACAGTATCCTTCCCCTGCCACGCCCACCAAGCCATGCCCACAGAACCGGTAGTAAAAAAAAATTGAATTTCACTACTGGCCTATCCGTGATTGGGAAAACGCACCTATAGGACCAGCTTTTTGAAGTTCTCTATTAAGTTGCCAAATCTGAAAAACACGGATGTAAAATGTTGCTCTGAACAGCAAAATCCTCTTCAAAAATTATCAAGGAAATATTCCAGCCTTATGTTTTCCACTGCTGGAAAGGGATTGGACCTAATTTTTTTTAAAAAAAATCTTCAAGACTTATGCTAATAATGCAGATGTAGAGACAAAGGAAATATTTTAGATCAAATATGAATGATGCATGGAGATACAAAATCCCAAGGGAGGAATATGGAAAACATGCCAAAAAATCAACAAGAATTGAAATACTAAAATGGGCAAGAGATGATGGATAGAAATAGAATACATACTAATACAAGATTTGTTCTATTTAGAATTAGAATAGAGGTAAAAATTAGAAAGAGGAAAATATTATTATTTTTGATTTTGATTTGATTTTATTAACATTTGTAGGCCGCCCGTTTCCCTGAGGGGACTCA